ACAAACATGTATCAAATAAATCTGCTCATCTGCAATTTATAATGGCGCATTGTAGTCACCTTCGTGCACGAAAGTTCGTTCAATCTCAGCTGTTCGTCAGTTATTAGTTAGTCAGTTATGTCAGTTATTTGCTGTTGTATCGCCGATTTTCAATATGCGAATGATCTGTTTATTTTCAAAGAATAGTTTGTTTTGTTATTGTTTGGTTGGTGTCTTATATGAAACTGCGACACTGCGCAATTTATTGGACAGACTTGTTGAAGATCACACAACGTAATTTGGGTGTTATGTCAGTTATTTGCTGTTGTATCGCCGATTTTCAAAATGCAAATGATCTGTTTACTTTATTTTCAAAGAATAGTTTGTTTTGTTATTGTTTGGTTGGTGTCTTATATGAAACTGCGACATTGCGCAATTTATTGGACAGACTTGTTTAAGATCACACAGCGTAATTTGGGTGGCATTTTATTTCGTATTTTTAAATCATCTTTTTATTTTGGACAATATCTGTAAATTTAGTTTCCTGCTCTTAATTGGGAATACATACTTGATGGTTTTAAATGCTCCTGAAATTAAGTGCTGCTTGACCAGCCTATATTGTGTATGTATGTGACGTCACTGAAGGCCGAAGGTTGAAATGCACGGCCCGCCACTGCTAACATACAATGGGGAAACAACATAAAAGGACGAAAGGAAATGAGCATTGGTATCGCTGTAATGGTAAACAACTGCTAGTTTACCACACACGCGACAGTAACACAAAACCAGCATATAAACGTATGAACGGGCATATTATCTTCAACTTGAGTTTACTGACAACTCTTACCTGTGTCACCCGACTGCCACCTTCAGGCTAATATGTGCACGCCAGAAGGGGCGGCATGCTCTTGCTTTTTGTATATGAAGTGTGGCACGTGCAGGCGTCTAATGTGTCAACATTTTTTTTTCTTTTTTTAAATGAGTGAATGCGGCAGATACCCGTGCGCTCTATAGACAGCAGTTTCCACGCCGTGCGAAGAACAACATGATATCAGTGGTGGGAAACACAACCCCCCCCCCCATGTATTTGTATCATTTTCAACACTGGAATGGAAACAGCAATGAGAGAGATAGTCTCCATCTCTCGGTTTAAAATACGGGCATTACTGCAAAAGGAGCACGTAGGCAGAAAATGTATTATTCAAGTGACAACGCCATGAACACAAATGTGAGAAAAGCTTCCTAATGGAAGATGATAGCGAAGTCTTGTTTGACACACATTCTAACAGCTTTTGTTCACAATGTAGGCGTATTGTGTGTGTGTGTGTGTGTGTGTGTGTGTGTGTGTGTGTGTGTGTGTGTGTCTCACTGTTTGGTCCTGTGTGATCTGTTCTTTCTCATCCTCCCCTGCAAATCCCACATTCCGTGATCGCAACCTAAATATGAGACCACACACACACACACACACACACACACACACACACACACACACACACACACACACACACACACACGCACACACATCTACAATTTAAAACAATCCAACGCTGTCAGTTTACCATTAAAAAAAAAAAAAAAAAAAAAAAAAAAAAAAAAAAATCACATCTTCAAATCATCTAAATGGCACTCCGGCTTGTAATAAGGCGAAAATCATCTCCATGGCGACCCTGGATCGCGCAGTTTAATCGACAACAATCGTGATTCCCAACCAGTTTACCGTAGCATCCAAGAGCGCCATGAGTGATTATCAGGGGCAATTCTGGAAATTATCCAATTTCACTTTATTTGTCTGCAAATGATTATTGAATAATTCTAAATACATCGCGGTTCATCTATCTATAGCAGAAATGTATAGTGACAGGCAGAGCAATGAAATGCTCTGACATGGCAGAAAGCTCTCCAGGAGCAAAATGCACCAGCGAAGAACAGCGCAGTGGTACGATTTTTATGGTCAGAAGGTGCGTCACCGCAGGTTCTTAACACAATATTGACACTGTGCACTATTGAAAAGAAGTGTGTAAGAGCAGATCGAAAAGTTTAATGACTTAAATTTTATTTCACACTCAGGCCTTTTGTGCTACTGCATTTTCATGTTGGTCATGATGGTAGTACTGGGAGAAGTACATTTTTAGTGGTACTTGCTGTAAAAAAAAACAAACAAAAAAAAACCCCAATAACCTGAGACTGAGAACCACTCATTTATGACACTGGTGCACCATCAAGAATGGTGCTCTTCATCACAACTGTGAATATTATGCAACGTTTTGTGTAAAGTAGCGCTTGGCTATACACTCAAATGGTCATACAATGTTTATTTTGTTACATGATGTATTTTTTACATGTAAATATAGAGTACACATTTGTCTTTTTTAGTTTCTGATAAATATAAGTTACATTTCAAAATAATTACCACCATATCCAAAGTGAATTTGTATTTTTGTTTGTAGTACGGTATCAATTTTTGTATAAATAACTTTGTAATCAGAGATGCAAAGAAACTGCAATCAAAGAATAATTGCTCAACTCATTTTTAACTTACTGTCACAATGTCAATATAAAATACAGATGTGTTTTGGTAAAAATTGTGTGTTTATTTCATTTCTTTTTTTCATCCTCTGTGTCGATTTTAAGTCATCTAGCTCATGCCAATTCACAATTGGACTCTTCTTGTTTGCTGTATTGTGTTTTTTTTCCCTTTTGAATGCAGCTAAGCTGTTAGGCTAACGATATTTTATAACACAGCAGAAAAGAGTGGCTCAAAGCATTTCCTCAAAATTTAAATGATGTAAAATACAGTACGATGAAAAAGTTGGGTTAGGGGTATTCACAGTACAGTCATGAATGAATATCTCGGGCACACAAATTACAGTCTTGACATTTTTTTTGTGTGTTGTTTCCAGCTAGAGGATACGCTTTCCCAAAAGAGGCATAATGTGTGGTCAATTACACGTTACAACAGTAGGTGGGGCCACCGAGCAAAAAATACTGTGACTGCCCTTTTTACTGTCCTAGAGACATACATGCCCAAATAATCATAGCTGATTTCGGCTATTGCCATGACACCCCTCTACAGGCATGCCTTTGTTAAAGCAGTGCGTTTCCATTCCCTTGAGGGCACATTCAAGGTGACTTTCCAGCAATAATCACTGTTTAATCCTGAGAGCGCTGTCTTCAAGACAGTGTCCTGTGCAGGCCGACCAAAGAAAAGTGTTCAGCACCAAAGCGGAAGCACTTGCCAAAGCATGCATAACACAACAGAACAACTTACAAAGTGAAAGAAGCAAGGGGGCGGCGGACATTGTGACATACGTTATGCATGAGGTGTTATTTTGACAAGCAGAGCATATTTTCTATAGTGTGGCTGAGCTCGTACCTGTGCTGTCCCACCTCCTGAGAGGACCACGGAGGGGAGTGTGGGCTTTGGGAATCCAGTGTGGATGGGGACAAAGGAGCTCCCTCCATCAGCCATTGATCTCTCAAAGACTTCCTCTGGAGGAACACAGAGATGAGGCATATACAATACTAGAAAAGCGGAATACATTAGCCTTAAAAAGTCCACAATTCTTGGGAAGAATGCACCTTAAAAGCTTTCCAACAGACTTTATCGGTAACGTCAGCATATCAGTGTGCTGTCAGTGAACGTGAGTAGACCTAATTTCAAAACGGCATTGAAGGATTTGCTCTGCATGGCTTTTAACCATTTCCTCTGCCTTGAATGACACTTTGAAATTGACGAGAGCGAGTGGGAAGAGAAGAAGCATTTCCACCATTGGAAACGATCTATAGTTGGGTATACACAAAGCGATTTGTAAACATGTGAGAGACCCGGCACGCTGAGGGAAAAAAAATATGTGTGCGCATACTGCTTTCATAGTCTGCGGTTACTCCAGAAGACCAACATAGCACACCTCACATGTAACGGGTGTCCGTCGTCGTACAAAAACTGATATTTAAGTGACCGAATGATACCAACAGGGCATCCAACAGTAATACCAGATGAAGAAATCGAAGAAGCTCGGCTAATTGTTCACTTGTCTGGGAACTAAAGTTATTATAATACTTTGTTCAATTATTGTTCAAGTGAGTGTGAACAGAGTCATAAAATTATTTCAAAATCTCAACGTTATTTATTACACATGACAATTTGACATTTCGGTAAAGATTCTAGCAAGTTGACGCACATGATTTGCTTTTGCGGGTCAAATGAAATGACCCGGTGGGCCGGATCTGGCCCCCGGGCCTTGAGTTTGAAATCTGTGCTTTAAATTGTCCCTAGGTGTGACTGTGAGCGCGATTGTTCGTTTGTCAGCAGGTGCCCTGCGATTGGCTGGCAACCAGTTCAAGGCGTGTACCCCCGCCTTTTGGGCCGAAGACAGCTGGGATGGGCTCTAGCACACCCGCGACCCTTGTGAGGATAAAGCGGATTCGAAAATGGACGGACATTCCTCTTCATTATTGTTTCCTCATGTGCTGTTCGGATCCTCTCCTGCTGAGCCCCTATCATCTTTTTCGTAAAGATCACTGCCTAACTTTGCATGCCCCCTGCTGAAAAGAAAAAAAGGACTTCTGTTCCAAGGCTGAATTGCTTTGGCACTTCCTGACTCCTTGGAAAATGATAAGCTACTCTTTCATAACACGCCTCCAAATGAGGACTCATCTCCCAAGACAAACATTGTGTTACGTTCATTGCAAATGACTTATTTCAGCCACTTTTTCCCCCCATTGAGCAAATGTTACTGGAGCACTTCAAACGAAATACATAATGTAACATTTAATGAAAGTGATTGCTGTGTAGTTTTTACACATAAAAGTGGTCTGCCGTCTCACTTTGTTCTTTATTCATGCCAGCAAACCACCGCCGTTTCTCCCTCGAACGACTAAAATGACATGGGTCCAATTCCTGGCTCCAAATAATGAAATCAAATAAAACCGCGTTCATTTTAAGTAAACTACAACAACCCCTGCCTGCAAAATGATAATAATAGCCTTGATTACGCGTGAATTTTTTTCAGTTGTCACAAGTGCAAAGTAAATAGAGGACTCTATAAAGAATTCATCCCCGATGATCTAGGTTGAACTGACTATGGTACTCGCTGAAACTCATTTTAACCAGAACTAAGACGCAATGTGCATCACTGTTTATTTTCCCCCTCGACTGCACATGGCGATTCATATGAGGACCTGCATGTGTTCAATAACTGTGAATAGCAGAGTTGCAACATTCATTTTAAGTGGCTTCTCTTTTCCAGCAAATATTTTGGGCCAATTCTGGTAATCCAATATCACTTTTTTGCCCTTAGGCAAGTACAGTTAATTAGCATCGCTTCTCTGTCTTTCTCCCCATCCTTGTTTTGTGATAATCATACGAGTCAAAAGTATCTTATTCGCTGATTAGTGACTATTGATATGTGCGGTGTTGACGCCGGACGCCAAGTGAACTTGCGGCTCCACATCGCGTTAGGCTACATTAGCTAGCCAGCTGAAGCTCGCGGGGAGCTGTGGCAGCGCAAGATAGAAATCACCGGGCATTCCCCGATCCAAACAGCGGAAAGCAACTCGGTTGGGTGACTGTGCAAATGTGAAGGCACAGGGTTTTATTTTAATTTTTGGTAACGATGCCGTGTTCATTTCATCGCATTCGTTTATGAAATGGGCGCTGGACATTGTCTTGGTGTCTTGATTGAAAATAGTTTTGTTTCTCATTTAACTTTCTAATTTCCTTTCTCACGATATTCTACTTTGAGATAAAATATCATAAAATAAAATCAATGTTTCTCCAAGCACATTGCACACCCCAGTGACACATGTTTTTCCACTTGCATCTGAAATCTCAAAAATCTCCGAAACAGCCGACATCCTCATGTTTCCAAAAAGTCTGCTTACTGTTATTGGCTACCTCCCTTTAACTATAACGGGCACAAAACATTCTCTGTCTTCTCCTGCCTCAGAGAACAAGCTCCTCTCTGTTACCTTGCCTGCCCCCTTCAGCGAGCTGCATGCAGACTAACCTCCAAACATTCCAGGAGTGGCGCTCACACCGATGTGCTTTTTTTTTTTTTTTTTTTTTTAACATGGCAATCAGCTGACATTAACAGTGACAGATTTAGCCCAAGGTAAAATACAACAACTTGTCGATAAATTGTGCTCTCTTGTGACTGCAGCACTGTTGTGAACACTAATGCTGCGAGCCGTCTCAAAGGTAGGAAGAATTAGCTCATTAAAAATTGAAGCATCCTTCAACTTCGTTTTATGGCTACACTAAAAAACGTCAACACGCTTGCGGATGGACATAAATCATGGTAACCGACGCCCTATGCCTGCATGCACAATAACACAATAACACACACACACACACACACACACACACACAAAAGTGCACAATTTGAGGAATGTATCAAAGGCAGCGTAACACGGTGGAGTAGGAAATGGGAACGGCAATGTGGAAATGATGTGAGAACAATGGAGGTGCTCTGTGACTTGCTCTGAGTGGACACCAAGCCATGAGAGCTGCGAGGTTGAGTGCGTGAAAAGGAAACAGACAGGGAAAGCTATCTGCTCCCAAATGAGCCCGAAGAAGTCTATTGTGAAAAGTATGAGAGAGACAGAGACAGCGAGCGAGCGAGAGAGAGAGAGAGAGAGAGAGAGAGAGAGAGAAAGAGAGGGGCGAGACATGAATTAAGATGTCTAAAAAGATTCTGCTAAAGGTGTCAGACCATGAGCTGCTGCAGTCTGAGTTTTTCATCCTCCATATCTCTCTTGGCTCGCTCCTGCTCCTCCCGCAGACGCCGCTTCTCCTGGAGACGGCACGTAGGCCAGAGAGCCACAAATTAAATTGAAGTGATAACTGAGCCGCCTGATTAATCGAACCCACCCCTCCCATTTTATTAAATTGATGAATCATGTCTTGAGGCACTTGAGACACAAAGGATGGCAAAACTTTGCTGCGACTAGCAGAGGTGCTGTTGATTCATTCCTATTTAATTTCATTTGCCTTGGACACTTTAGTTATTCAGCTAATAATAACTTAAATCATGTCATTTGGAGGGGGGCAGAGGGGGGGTCACCTTTGTAATGGTAGCTATTGTAATTAAGCATGTTAAATGTTACTTAAAATATTCTCTGTACTTAATAAAGGGTTGAGGATGGTTTCAATCTTGGTAACAAATTGATGACTTATTCGACTTCGGAACTTAACCAGCATCGCATATCAGATTGCATTGGACTTTGGCAGTCCCGCTGTGTTTCCATCAAGGCCGGTGTTGATCCAGATATCAACAACACAACAGCCCGTATTGCTCAGTGCAGCCTGGTATTGTTTTCCACTCCTTTTGAATGATGTATGAGCAACAAACAGCTCCTCTCTGTGGACTCACAGCGATGGCCTCCAGTCGCTGTTGGTACTTCTCCGCCTCATCCATCCTGGCACCTGTGACACAGACAAAGACAGGGTGAAAAGGTGACACACACACACACACACACACACACACACACACACACACACACACACACACACACACACACACACACAAGTTCGATCTCCCTTCACTGGCGTCTCAGGGCAAATCTGTTTTTTTATTCCAGAGTGGGAAATCTTTACTGGTCTCTGGGACTGTTAGTTAACACGGTGAGAAACCCATCCAAGAAAGCACCCGAAGGGGTCCGATAGTCCCCTACAGAGGTGGAGTGAGTGATACGAATATATGTGCATGGGCAAGGAAGCAGAAAATGCTCAAATAAGAATGATAGGAAGGAAAATCTACAAGTGGGGAGCATGAGATGGAACATCTACAGTATATAGTGTAGAATGTAAACAATACATGCAACAAAGGAAGGGGGGAAAAAACCCTGTTATATGCTCTCGATGACTGGAGGTGGCAGCTTACAGTGTAAGACTCCTTCGGGACCACGATCTCGCATCTCAACAGGGTTACGGATGAGGAAATAGCAGGCAGAGATAAACAAGCACAGCCAATTGGCAGCTTTGATGAAGAGATATTGAGGAGCTCCCAGAAGACACACACGATCGCGGATAATTAGATGGAATACAGGAGGAGAGCGCTGACATCGTCAAAAAGTTCGAGAGAGTGGGAACGTCGGGATGGTCGGAGAGAGAAGATCAAGGGAAAGAGGTGTTTTTTTTTTTTTTTACTCAAGTCTGCTTCTCTTAAGATCCTCATCATTAAGAGGTAAATTGCGGTCAATCAGCTCCCAGCTTTACTGCGGGTTCACGAGTTCAAAAAGCTCTCAAAAGAGCCGGGTTATGACTTCACGACTGTAGATATAAGCCTTTTGTTAGTGGGTCACACGGGTAAAAATATCAGACCGCAGGGGAACATCATAGCACATGTCTAGCGCAGGGTCACGGGAGGTAAAGTAAAAATATTAATGTCAGTGGGAATAAACACTGATAAAAAAAAAATTAAAAAAAGAAAAAGGTATTTGCCTTTCCAAAAATAAAAAGGAAATCAAGGTCAGCGGGGCTCTGGATATGCTCTTCCTTAACTTGCCAAAACAATACTTCAGGGTATCTTCTGGTTTCAGGAAGCCCAGAAGGAGGACTTGTGAAGACCTTTTAAGAACACTTTCATTTTAAGACTTCTCCTTCATTAAATGTTACCCAGTGGAGTGGCTAATATGGCCTTAATATTATCTAAGAATATTTTAAGAACTGTTGTGATTATGTTTTTGTGAGAAGTGCAGGTCGCAGCCTTGATTAACCTAGACTACCTACAGCTACTTTGTTTTATACGTGACAAAATAACGTTGACTAACTTTTTCGACAAATAGCCGTTGTGGCATTGCGAATCTTTGTGAACACTGTGATATTAAGGACGTACGAGGCCATACATTTATGCAAGACCACATTGTCCCTTGGGAACATCACATGGGCACTGTAATTTATGTGACCACTGAAAATTTGTCTTTGTGTGTGTGTGTGTGTGTGTGTGTGTGTGTGTGTGTGTGTGTGTAGAAGCTTGTCCCTGTGGATGTTCCCACTGTTGACCGTTATCGGATCTCGCTGAGCCCTTGCAAAAAAAATAAAATAAAATAAAATAAAAAATCGCCAGTGTTTAGCCTCAACCCTTTGTCAAATATTCAATGAGGACCATTAAATAGCTCCCGAGCGTAAACCAGGAGTGTTCCTCTTTCAGGAGTTGTTGCAGGTTTGTTGTATCTATAACATCTCTTGCATAAAATAAACCGATAACGAAAGGCACTGATGCATCAAAACAAGCAAACTTTTGCTTTCCGAGGCAATCGTGCTTTTTCATCTCACTGATAAGCTGTGTCTTGCCCAGACTACTCTGCTATTTTTTTTTCGGCATGCAGGCAACACACAAAGTCATACCGGCACTTGTAGTAGAAACAAAAAGGATCATTTTCATTTAAAGGTTCATCCTATGCTCTTTACACACGAATGATTTATGAAAAACAAACAAACAAAAAAAAAACAGGCTGTAGTCCAAGGACAGAATAAATTCTGAAACTTAAAGCTAATCAAAAATTATTTGCGAACAGCAGCTAGTGATGTTAAAGAGAGCAATATCTTGCATCTTAAATGTCTGCAATATTTTACAGACATACATGAAATCTTAAAAAAAAAAAAAAATATGCGTTTAGGGTGATACAAAAACGAAAAAAAAAAGTATCTGTGATACGCCACTGTGATGTTGTCATCAGGGCTTCGTTGCACACATTCCTCTTGCCCTGGATCCAAAACTGTATATTTGCCTTCAGCGTATTTGTGCTTGCTTATTTAAGAGAGTATATTTGCATAGTGAGTGGGTGTGTGAGGGGGGTCGGGGGAGGTCGGCATGAATTCTACATCCCAGACGTGGTGACATTGGCTCAATTGGCTCAGTGGGAACAGATGGAAGAACAGCTGGGTGTCAAGAACGCAAAACTTTTCAGATTTGAGTTAATACCAGTGTTCCGCTTGGGGCTCTAAGATAAACACACATTTGACATTGGAATCTAAATATTTGTTCTTTCCATCAAAATACTGGCCACAAGTTACAAGAAAAGCCCTTTGCATGTTCAAATGAAGCAGTTGCGTTTCATTCTCCGATGGCCATAAGAGCATGCAGCAGCAGAGCAAAGCCCACATGTCAGCGTTTACATAAGTCCAGGTGTCTCGTGCTGCTGGAAGAATGTTGAATGTTGTTGCGAAAGGAGTGTGAAGCCTAAACGCATGACATCAGCTTACTGTCGAGGAAAGGGCCCGGCCGGGCTTGAGGAATGGATGTCATGAATGATTGAAAGAGAGCAATGCACTCAAAAGCATGGATGGAGCCGCATAGCTTTCTGGTGAGGTGAGGGCACAGGGGCTTTGACGTGACTGGGAGGTGCGGAGCATGAAAAACTGCTGCCCAGGCCGTTTTCTCGTCCAGGCTTTACTGAGCCGGGATACGGGTTGACAAAGCCTGGCTGATGCCAATCCAACTTTTGCCAAACAGCGAACGACAAAGAGGTGGTCCGGTGAAGACATGATTCGACGAATCAGAGCCAGCGCCTTCAAATTGAGGATCAAATTCGGGTAATCTGCTTCGAGGTCAGACTGGATTGCCGCAACAGTAAAGTTGCTTCAGGTCTGGTGAGAAATGGCGCCGGGGGAGCCATTAGAAAGGGCATTCAATGACATTTTCTTTTGTGAGGATGGAATAATCCGGTTGATTGGCTGCTCCGCATCCTTTACTCGTGCGCTCATGAACTCTGTGCCATATTGGACAAGAATACAAAAGGTGGAGATAATCACGTAAGGAATGAAAGATGAGGTTTATTGAGAGAAAGCAAGCATTGCCAGCATGGTTTGACATCATAGCAGAGAAGTCAAAATTAACCGAGCAACCAACACCTAATTGATTGTACAATTAACTACTTTAATAATCGAGTAAGCGTTTACAGCCCTTACATTCCTCGTGTGAATGTTTTTTTTTTTTCCTCGCATACTTCTCCCAGACAGTTGCAAAAATGAACCGTTCGGCAATCTTGCACAGACACACTCCTGCGTGCACCCGGTCATTATATCTGTTGGTCTGCAAATCAGGCTCATTGTGTGATCATAAAATGATGAAGGACAATAAGATTAGCTTTTTGTGTCTTTTTTTTTTTTTTTTTGCTCAACTTGGATTGACTTTTTATAATCGTGCGTTCTTGCCGATTCAATTGGGATTCTTTCAATGTGCAAAAATTAACCGCTGCTTGGAGAGACTAGTTTCCCAGAATCATTATCAGTATTGCTTTTTGTTGGTCCATCCTTACGCATCTCAGCTTTTATTAATATTACACGAGTATGAATGGACTGGGGAAAGTGTGAGGTTTAAAAAAAATAGGAGCAATTTCCATGTGCTTTACAGTCAAGCAGTTTGAAAACATTGAAGAAAAGATTCTCAAAAAAACAAACAAACAAAAAAAAAAATCTGCAAAATTATTTATCAACAAATGACCAAAACACCAGTTGGGGGGAGTTTCATCTGATAATTTAGAGCGTCTTAAATGATTAAATCAAAGAGATTGAAATAATAATGATCCGTCATCATTTCACCCTTCATTGTAACTTTAAACAGCAATAACCAATTATGTCTGCGCAAAAAGGGTGCTGGAGGCTCGAGCCACGAATGCCTTTTGTACACCAAATGGCAAAATATCACACTGCAGTCAAGGCGAAACACAACTTGGGGAATATAATGAAAACAAATGGGTTCATAAAAAAATGAAAAGATCATCGAAAGTCCTGCCAAACAGTTGTACATGAAGAAATGGGGTCTTCCAAGGCCACTGTAAATCATACACATCCTTTCACCCTTGTGCTTGGGAAGAGGAAGTCCACAAACACTGTCCTGCAGCCGCTTGGCGACAGAGTGCAATCGCAGTGACCCTGATCCATGAACCTGCACATCCTCTGCCTTCGTCATTGTCCGTTGCTGAGGAAAAGCCAGACTCAGACGGGGCGAACGACAACACATATTCCTTGAGCGAGGCATGGGGGTAATCAAAGAGGATCGTATGTTACAGCAGGAGAATGAGAACTGTGGTTAAGTGCTTCTTGCGTCAGCTTTTGATTATCAGCTCAGCAGAAATTGCCCGATTAGAAATCCTGCTAATCGAGGCAGCTCTAAATCGGACACACTGGCTGAGAATGGATTTCAACGTGTGCATTGGCACTGCACTGAAAAAAAATGTCAAGAATTTTATTTTGTCAAGTGGTTGCACACGATACAACCATCTGGGTTTAGATCCATTTTCTAAGTACACATATAGTCGACTTAAAAAAAAAAAAAAAGGCCCTACATCCAGATGCTTTTATTTCGTGCAACCACGTGACGAAATAAATTCAACACACCGTTTTTTTAGTGTGGATATTTTTGGGAGGAAGTATGCGCTATGACTACTTTTCGGGAGCCTAGACCATATGCTGTATTAGAT